CTCCTAGAGATATCAAACCTCTTTACAAAGCAGGCATCTTTCCTACCAAGAGTGTGATGCAGTGACTTTGCTAACAAAAATACAAGATCAGGGTGACGAACCTGAGAGCACCAGTAGTAAATACATTGTGCTACACTTAGAAGTGTGATTTCTCTGGGACTTGCTTCCGACCTCCCAGTTGCAAATTACATGATGTGTGCTATTGATGAATCTATGAATATGTAATACCAACAAAATTGAAAAAAACCAGTAATTTCATAAAACTCCAAAGCATCAGAAGAAGCCTTTAGTGGTTTACAGTGTCACCTCTGGTATCACAAAGTTCTGATGTCCTTCTTCAAACACCTGGAGTCCTTTAGATCCAAGTACATCTCTTCATCATTTTGACTTAATCATATGTTATTAATTGTTTGTTTCCAGAGGAAGGATTCTCTTCATTTGTGTTCAAGATTAAAATGCCTGCCTTTGAGGAATTACTGGTATGATCTTAACCAGAAGAACGTGAAAGGGGTTAGCAAATTAGGTCACTTGCCACGGTGACAACTATCTGAGATAACCATCAATTAAGGGACAATGTTTTGGAATCTAGATGACCTTCACTATCTGAAATTCTGCTGTGTGATCCTGTACTTGGTTCAATTTTGGACAGTTTGGGAACATTCAAGCCTGACTCGGACTGTACCCCTGTTGGTTGACAGGGCAGCCCTGCCTAGACTTGTCAGTCCCTGTGTCTGCCGTTCAGTCCTTCTACCAACAGCAGAGTTGGAGAGCTGCATGTTCAGGTCGGGGGGTACCAGGGCTTCTTGTTCAGCTTCTTGGCATTACAAGGACAAGGGGCTGTATTAGTTAATACACTCATTTTGGACATTCACAGCATGTATTTCTTGTTATCTATTATAATGATAAATGTAAAATTTTGTCTGAAATACTTACGCTGAATCTTAATTTGAATATCTGCACCGCGACTGCAGTCTGCGATGTTTCTGTATTCAGCAAATTGATTTTTGAATGTGGTCAGTTAAAAACAGTTTTGTAATCCACAAGATAGTTCATTAAGAGCCTTGTGTAATATGGTACGTGTCTATTATTTTCCTTTTCTAAGTAACTATGTACCCTTACAATAACTTTACCAAATGAGCCACTTAGGAGTACCTTTATAAGGATGTTTTCAGTTTAATTATCGCTGTTGAAAGACATATCTCCATTAGGTTTGTGCATACATGGCAGAGAAAACTTACTCATTGACTGATTTCATGTTTTATGTAGGTACTTGGAGTATTCAAGCTAATTGTTTTCAGGTTAGTTGTCCTTTTGAAAAGGCCAAGAGGTAAAATCCTTAACACTTGCTTAGGAATTCCAAGGTAGAACTGCTTCATTTCTATGAATCACGGTTCTGCTATCAAATAAGGAAGTGAGAATTCATAAATAATAGCTTCCCAACTTGCAATTATGCTTGTTCTCTTATGCTTCCTACTCCTCTTACTCTTCCTGCTTCTTCAATGTATGTTTTCTTTAAAAGCCTCAGCTAGGTTATTAATGTGGACAGCAATCAAGCGCTTCCCTTGGTTAGTAGAGATGAAAAGATGTATTTTCTTTTGAGAGCTGTATTGTTTGGCAGTTGTGTGCATTTCGCTCCCATTGTGTGGTTCTTCACCAAGTTAAAACAGAGCTCTTCTATCCCCGAGGACAAAGAACAAACTGTTGTCGCGGGAAGGCATATCTACAAAATCGTAAATCTTTGTCCTTCTCCTGTTTATTCTTCATGACATTCAAGCCCAGTTAGAGAATGACCAATTAACTCCAGATCACGGCAGATTCTGATGGGCCAGATTTCTCCTATCTAAGATGACACAGCCAAATTTCCAAATAGTTGAATGCAGCGTTTGGATTTCCTTGCTCTTTAATTCACAGTTCCCAAACTGATATTCCAGTTATCAAACAAATTGACATTTTCTCTAATTAACGCACTGATCGCCAGCAATATTGTAAAATATAGGGAAAGTATGTACCAAATTAATTTCATTGCGCATCCAGTTCTTTATTATTGTGAGTAAAACTGCTTAAAGATATTTGTCCTTCAATAATTAATCTGCTAGCTGTACATTGCACATCACTGCATACTGAAATATACAGGAAGCAGGAGTTTTACAGATTATTTTCTATGGTAAAAACATGCTGCAAAGGTAATAATTTATAAAATAAATCTAATCAGTGAAGAAAACACACTTTTGACTATGATATGGTATCCACTAAGTAAAAAACCAACACAAACTGGGGAGGGAGAGAGTCCAAAATTAAATGTTAGATTGGAATTATTTAACCATAATACAGCATCGTAATTAACATCTATACTGTTTGTACTTCATTGCATTTTATGTTTTATCAATTCTTGATGTGTGGAATTTAGAAGAACTAAAAGCAATGACTCAATTACCCAAAAGAATTGCTTTTATATTGCTTTCTATTGACAAGTCATAAGTTTGAAAGGAAATTATGTTAATCATTTTACTTTGATATCTTGTGCTGGTGTCTGATTGCATTAAATTTCTATTTTGTGTTAAATGGCAGGTCTGCAGAGACACTGTATATTTAATCCTAATTATACCTTGCCAGGATCAGGTACTGATCCTAAGGCTCGTGTTCTTACATAAATAACGTATATACAAGAAGTGAGGTTTTTTTTAAAAAGCCACATTCAGACAAGTTCTAAAAGGTTAGGTTGTTAGAGCAAAACTTTGTAACATCTTTTGTGATGCTTCTGTTTACTCTCTCAGAAAACTTCCTCTGGTTTTGCAGACTTAGATGGGAGTTTTGCCTCAGAAAGTTGGATAGATGCAGGATGTATCTGTGCCATCTGCTCCTTGTAACGCTTGCCGTTATCCCCAGGAGTCAGCGAAAGGCCCCGCGGGCTGGACGGTGGTTCGTTTCCTTTGCTGATGCCCCTCTTAGCCCCATTAAAGGCGTGAAATCCTGTAGTCTGGAAGTAGGGAGGAGTCTGGTCTGTCCCAGACAGAACATGCAATATCATCGGTAGCACCAGGCCGTGTTTCTTACCCAATGAAAACCAGCATTAAAAAAAAATTTTTTTTTTTTAATTGGTGACAAATGAGTCAAGCAGGAAGAATGGAACGATTCTAAAACCAGAGAAATATTTACCACTCAAATATCTGAAGAAATTAGCAGTGATAAAAAGAAAATACCGTGAAGGGAATGCAAAATGGCTTAGCTGGGCTCTGGAAAACAAGTGAGTGGTCTTTAAATTTGCCTAGATGTTTTTCTGGATTTTTGAGCTCTCTGGCCTTGTGGAGGGGGGGAAGAATAATGTAAATGCCAAAAAGAGCTGGACAAAAAGTAAGCCTTATATCCTATCTATGAGAGTCAGACGATGTGTGTCATGCTAGTTTTTACAGTCATAGTCTACATTCTTCCAGTGATTAAAATCAAATTTGACAGTAACACAATATAGAGGTTTAACTGACAGCACACACAGCACATTTGCTAGTCATAACGCCACAGTTTAATGACTGATGCATGTGAGAAGCTAATTCGGATTTTTTTTTTTTCCTTGAATGGGATAAATGAGCATCCAGTTAATTCCAATCATGAATTCAAGCCATGTGACAAAATTGATGCTACATACCCTGTTCTTGTTTTGCATATTCTGCAAATTGAGCTGCAGGAAAAGAGCCAGTTTGTACACACATCCGGAGAGAAAGTTCATTCTGCTTTCTGACACATCCACCGATTGCAGCTGAATGTATCCAGCTTGCTGCTGTTGTGTCCACAAACTAATTACCCTTTCTCTGTTAAATAGCCTAAGAATTACAAATTGTATGCCTGTTTTGAGAAAAAGTACAGGTTGAACAAGCAGACGTAGTATAAATAAAATATTTATATAAAAATAGTCTCTTACAAAATATACTCTTTTATCCTATGGTTGATTTTTCCAAAAGATGGAAGTTTGTCTGGATTTTCTTATTTTTAGGCATATTCCAAACAGGATTTTATTAATGCTTCTTTCTTTAATTGAAGAAAACAAAACAAAACTGGTAAAGATTTGTAACCCCTACCGCTTGATTTTTGTTCCAGACAACTAGCAGCAAACAGGAGAAAAAAAACAAAACAAAACACAAAACTAAAAAAAAAAAAACCAACCAAAACCAACAGTGTGTGTTTGTGTATGTACATATATATAAAGATGCCAGCTTTTGTACTTAAACATCTAGTACTGTAGAACATATCCTGCAAGTCCAACTAATAGAAATATCCTAGTTAAGAATAATATATACAGCTCCAGTTTTTCCTTGCTGTTTCTACAAAATTATTCCACAAAGAAAGCCAGCTATCTACTTTAATTGCAGAATAGTTCCAAAAATGTTGGTAGAGTTCTTTTTAATTAAATAAATTAATATTAGTTTTATCTGAATAAATTGTTAAATATTGCTATTATTATGCCCAACTGTCCCAAATCCCTGTGCTAAAATCTGCAGCACACACACACACAAAATAGGCAGATAAAGCAGTGTCTACAGAAAACTTCAACAGTTCTACTTGCTGTAGCAAATGGTACGAAGTGGAAAGATGGGCAAGACCAGCAGAAGCTTTTCACAAGTGTAGAAGCCTAAATCTGTGTCATCCCCATGCTCGCAGGGGCCGTTCACAACGGGGCACAGTCCATCCCGTCCTGTGCAAAGCCCTTTCTGGAGGATTTCTCCCCTACCCCTCCCTGCTACTCGTACACTGAAGTTTTTGACCATCTTTCTCCCAAAACAAGAGTTAGTTGCCACGCTCAGAGATTTTTCTCTGACTGGTGTCTCTTCCCAAGGCGGTCAATGCTTCTTGCTTTAGAGGCACAAATTAGCCGAGATGATCTTTTTCCCTCTGTTTTGTGTGTCAGGTGGCTCGGGGTGGGGTTTGTTTGTTTTTGTTTCTTGGCTGAATTTCATAAGAGTCTGAAACGTGTATCCACATAAGCAATGAAACATGAGAAGAAGAGAGAGGGCTCCATTCATCAGCATTTCTTCTGGGAGAGCAGGTCTTTCCTACAGTCTTGTGTAGGTATGTTGAGTGCATGTGCAAATGTATTCGTGGGCAGGGACGCGTCAGCCTGCCTGGCCCCGTACTCACTTACAGGTATATACTTCTGTTCTTTCACTGCACGTGTTGCATTTAACATAGCAGCACCAATGAAATTTGCAGTTGCACTGCCACACTCTTGAGTACTGGTGTGTATTGTAACCTCGACCACAGCACATCAGATCGCAGCCGTTGGACTGCTGGGCTGTCTTGTTGCACATCCTTCCCTGCGTTCCCACGCTGCCAGTGACAGGGTCTTCTTCACAATAATTGGGAGATTTTTCTATGTACACTAAATCTGTATCCATGGGTTTGCGATAGGAAAGTGGCTTCTTTATCTTGAGGAAAGTTGGGCGCTTGTTACGACTTGCTCTCACCGGTTCGACTTGAACAGCTTCGTTGTATTTGTCCTTAAGGATGTAGCCCAGCTCCCGGAATTTAGGCAGTGTTGTCCAGCATGTTTTAGTGGTACAGGATCCTGAAACCCCATGGCACTTGCACTCTAACTTCATGTTTTCTTCCAGAATCTGTATTTGGAAGGACAAAGAATGACGCGTTAATACAAGCTAGAACCTCTTCAAAAAACCAGGGTTGTTTGATGTGTATGGAATGACAGCCACGGATGGGTTTGCTCTCCAGCAAGGGTTGCCACCAGACATGAGCCACGTTCCCACCAAAGCTGTGGGATTTGCTTGCCTGGTGATGCTGCCATCCCAGGTAGCAAATGCTCAGCAGCGTCAACTGAGTTCTGCCTGCAACGCTGATTGCCCATTTGCGCTTTGAGTTAAGTAGGGAAGAGAACTTTGCCAAATTTCACAGCCCATGGACCAAAGGTAAAATGGAACCCTCCTTAACCACAGCTTTTCTTCACGTTCATTTGCAATATGATAATAGAGTGCTTCAGATTTGTCTCTTGCAATTTTTGGCATATGGGAGTGAAATTAGGACCTGGCAGAAAATCACACCTGTACATGAAAATCACACCTGTACATGAAATGCCACATGCAGAATGCTTTGAAAGCTCAACAATAGGCACTAGAACTTGATTTTTGTAAATAGAGGTTCAACAATAAACTGCATTTTGGTTCTTGCACCTGGAAATGACATAAGCTGGTGCAAGATGTGAACAAGCAGATAAACTCTGCCAATGCTTATCCTCCTGTTGGTCTCACATTAATCAACAGTGTTGAGCAGATGATCATTTACTCTTACAGGCATCCTCTCTTCTAGATGTTGCCAGTTAACGCTCCAATTTGGAAATCTAAGTATTATTTCGATATACCATAGTCCTAAATTCTTCACGCTTTCTGGAGGGTTTGAAGTGTTCTGCCTCCTCTCAGGTTGATAATGGAGCATACAAAATGCCCCAGCTGCTTTGCAAGAGAACGAGGTCTGTCTTAGAGCATAAAGAGTAAGAGTAAAGATGAGGAATTGGTTTCATGTTTTCTCATCAATTGTTGTTTAAAAATTTTCTGCCTCCTTAATACTGTGAAAGTGTCTCAACCACCTCAACATCATGGCTTGCTCCACCCTGTCTCATGTTCTTTTCTTTGTAGGGGTCTCATGTGCTTATGCCTGAGTTGTCATTCCTTTCCTTTTGAAGATAACAAGCTTCATCTTCCCTTCAACCTTCACATCCCTTAAAACTTTATCCTTGTACCTTCTCCCTCCTGCTGTTTGTTTACCAACCCAATCTTTGCCAAATAAAAGTGGAGACCGGCTTAGTCCCTGCTGCCTGTCCTGAGCCCTATAACTGACCTCACTTAGCAGCTACACTGGGTTAATGCTAGAAAACACACCTAATTCCAGCAATTAATTTCCCACTGGTCTTTGCTTGAAAGAGAACAGAATAATTTTGATGATTAAATTCTGCCTAACCTGGCAGATACCAGCAGTGGAAAGCCCAGCCAGCAGGATTATCTGGGTTCAGGGAGTGGCCACATAATTTTTCCCCTGAGAAACCCCAGCTGATCTGTGCAGCTCCAAACCTGGGCAGCCTAGAAGGCTGGAGGGAGGTCAGGGATACAGAAATTTGAATTAACCCTTTGCTATAACCACCCCCCCGCTTTGGTTTTGGATGTTTGGAAAACTCACCATGCAGGCACCATCACCGGCTGCTGCTGAAAACGGTAGCCTGCACTGAAGGAGCCAAGTCCAGCTCGAAGGCTAGATGCGTGTGTTGGGACTTCAGGTCTAAAACCTCAGCCTAAACTAGGGGTGGCAAGGAGGAAGAGCACACCTGAAGCTGTGCAGCCCGCAGATCCTAAGTAATGCACCAACACTGGCGAACATAGCTCCGTCTTGTTCTTGGCAGCCTTAAACCAAGTAATTTAAAGACTGCACATAGGAGCTTATTATTGTCATACCTTTTGGTCTTGAGGCTGTTCCCATGTCCCCGAGGTACAGTAATTGCTGTTGCCTAACCTTTGGAGAGTTTGTAGCTGCTTCTTCACTCATTGTCCTTCCTCTGCCCCTTTCTAATGAAGATAGGGATTTCAAAGGCATTAAAGTAGCTTTATAATCATTTTAGTCTATAAGCAAAGTGTCAGCACATGTGCTCTGAAAACAGGATTAAACCCCCTAGAAAGTATAGGTCCAAGATTTTGACAAATGTGAACTTAGCATATGTTAGGTCACATTTTGTGCTACTGTTTTTAAATTACATTTTCATGCAAACTATCTAATGACTGCCCTAAAACTTAGATGTGAGAAACAGATCTACATCTTAAGTTGCATTCTGCTCAAGCTTTGGCTTACGTTTTACATTATCTTGTTATCTTGAGTTTCTCTCTCAGCCACTGCATACTTCTTTTATTGCTCACTCATTCATAAGGTAGTACACTTAGAAGATAGATGAGGAGACGGGAAAGGAGTTATAGCACAGAAACCGGAAAAATAACATAAATTCTTTTAGCCTCATTTGTACCTTTTTAAAAAGCTCTCTTTTTTTAATTTGAAACTAGCCAGGGATACATTTCTCAGCCCTAATTCAATCACTGCTCTTGTTCAAGTGGCCGGCCTTCTATGCTGGTACAATGTTCAAACTTGCAACAAAATATTTCTAACTCGCCTTCCATCAGGATCTGCCAGATGGACTTGAAACATTTATACAAAATGCATCATGGCCTAGTGTCATCTACCCAGGTAGGGCTTTTTTCCTGAAGTGTAGTCAAATAGCCTAAATTGCCTTTTGGTTTATTTCATTAGCATCCCTTTTACAGCCAGCAATCCCTGAGAGAATGAGTAGTTCCACTGGAAAGAGCTGAGCAAGCGGCTGGAGCAGCTCAGCAACCGGGCAGCCTCATGTCACGTGTTTGTCTCCTGCTCCGGGTGACACGATGCCAACCGGAACCAGCTTCTGGTTTTCTGGTCTCAGCTAAGGCTGAGCACGAGTGGTTAGGATAAAAAAGTCTGGTTTTGCCTGAACATGAGAAGTTTGAGCAATACTAGTTGAGCCTAAGTACTAGGCTCACCAAAAATGCTTGGAGGGGGACGGGAGGAGGGAGGGGGATGAGAAAGAGTTTTGTCTTAATGCTTGCTGTGCCACATTTATTGTTCTCTTTTTTCTTTTTCTTTTTTTTTTTATAGGTAGCACTTCCTAAGATTTACTGGCTAACCTTCCTTTTTCTCTTCCCACTTGTTGGGGTGTGTTGCTCCAGCACATCTGCCTAATTTGGGTCCACTGTACTCTGCAGCTGAGCTTTCCCTTCCAGTTCTGCCTTTTCTAACCCGGCCCCTTTACCTTTCACTCACAAACCCTTTTGTTGGTTCTGTTCTTGTAGATATATCCTCCTCGCTGGTGCTGTCTTTCAGTGCGGTGTTTTGCAAATTCAGCCAGAGATGAATTGACTCTATAGCCTTTAGAAAATAGTAACTTGAACTGTCTATCCTGAGCAAAAGCAAAAGCCTGCAATGGTGATTTGATAGTTTTATTGTACTGTGATATCAGATGCTTGGACCATTTGTTTTGCATTAAAATATGCGGGCGGTGGTACTTTAATACTGTTACATTAGACTAATGTAGCCTCTGATAAATCAGTGCCTTTATAAATTCAAGACAAGAATTGAAAAGAGGAGGAGGAAAATAAAATAGGGAATTATTTGGGTAGGGACAAGAGTCCTTGGTCTTTCCCTTGGTTTCCATGAGCCAAAAGGAGCGCTCTGCCCCTTAAAAACTTGGTCTGTGTTAAAAACAGAGTGTTCTTCAACTTTCAAGATCAGGATTTGTTTCTTTGAAGGTATTAGCCAGCAGCTCACACTTTTTACATTAGATTAAAACTTTATATATGTTGTAGACTGACTTTCCTAAAATGTAAGAGCCTGAAGGGCACAAAATTTAAATCCTAGGTCCTCTATTTCTTACCAAATGACCATATCGAACTCTGTCAGCCATGGGAAGTAAATCTGTATGCACCAGTGAATGCTCTGAACTGGATTAAATGCAAACAAAGAGCTGGAGTTCTTTTAGCTTTGTCCACTTTTTCTTTGAGCTCCTACAGTAAACTGTCAGTACTTGTTTTTTTCTCTCTCTCTCTCTCTCTCCCCCTTGCCATTAGCCTCTGGGAAATAGTTTGTGTGAAGAGAACTTGCACTGGCTCTCTCTGTTGATGTTATCGCCAGATATAGTACCTTTGGGCACTGCCACAAGGAACTTAACATGTTTTTTCTTCGCCTTTAGTTTTGCAGAGACTGCGTAGGGTGCGTCAGGTGAGGGTGGCGAGCTGCAGCTCTGGAGAACCCAGCAGCCCAGGAGCTGCGTGGGCTGGCACCAGCACCGTGGTCCTGCAGCAGGCAGTGACGAGCAGGGCTGGCCGGTAGCAGTACCCTGGCTGGGGGCTGGCTCAGCCAACCATCCTGGCTTCCAGTGAAACCAGCAGAAAGGGCTGGCTGGTGCGACTTGGCGCTGGAGTGGCATTTGCTTATGAGTGCTGCCACTGCTGCCCTGCAGCCGCGTCGGAGGCGTGCACCCTGGGTGGGACGGGTGCTGCTGGTGCTCGGGTCTGGGCAAACGGAGAGGTTGTTATGTGGCTGGCGTGCTCAGAAACACTGTCACCCTCGTGCAGGGGGCTTTCTCAGCTCAGTGTCTCTACCCAAGTTCGTCAGTGGTCTGTACCTCCCTGGGTTTCCAGCATCTAAAGTCAGCTGACTTTCCAAACGCCTCGGCCAGGGCAGTCTGGGACCCCACATCCCCGCTCAGGTGCTGCGGTTGGTCACCAGAACACTGATGCACTCGATGCCAAAGCTGTCCTGAAGGACCTACAGCGTGAAATACAGGGACCATCGCACCTCCAGCCTGTGCATTCTCCTTCACCAACATACAAACTGGATTCCCATCCAAACTGGATCCTGCCGCGCAGTCAATACCCTGCCAAGAAACACCACCGTGCCTGAGGCCATGGACCCTTTATTGCTTCAGCAGAAATAACTAAAGTCCAGTCTACATGTGAAGCAGATGTAATTAGTGAGACAACAGGCACTGATTCCTATCCCACCAAGGCCATAATCTTTCCTAATTTTGTCTGACATC